CAATATCCGGGACCTGGGCAGTGCTGGGCAGCAGCTGCCCTTGCCTGCTCTCCCACCCTGCCGCAGCCCAGGCCCTGCCTGCTGCAGAGCCCGTGGGAAGGGTTTCACTTTTGGGGTGTGTGAGGAGCCCAGCTGTGGAGCACTGGGCCTTCAAAAGCACCTGCTTCTGTGGAGGCTTCTTGGATCCACAGGCTGAGTGCTGCCTGGGGCATCGGGGAGGCAGTGATACTTGCATCCCTGCTCCACATCTTCTTACACATGTGAAGGCTGTGGTCCTCAAGTGGAAGCATGTATATGTGCAAATTCCCTGGGGATCAGGAGAGGAAGGGGAGGATTTGCATGGAAGGATGTCTCTGGAAATAAAGTGGCTGAGGAGAAACTTAGGCTGGAAAGAGGTGCTGAAGAGGGTTGTAACCATTGAGGGGCCTGGAACAGATCCTCTGGGCTTCTCCAGCCCTACCTTTTCTTGTGGAAGAGGTGTCAAGGTTTCAGAGGGTTTGATCAAGTGATTGAAGCCCCAAATTAAGGGGCTGCCCTACGGAGTGGCATGTCACTTATTCCATAGTCCTCTGGCAATGGTTTTATCCTTGCTCTGGCGGTCATCTTGGCTTGCAGATTGGGAATTGGCCAAAACAGATTTGGGAAGAACTTTTGGACAGCGCATTAGGACATTACTGACTGGCAGAACATCTTGGAGGAAAAATATGTTGGCGAGAAAATTTAGACTAGTTCCAGGCACAGGCCCAGGGCTGGGAAGGTGGAATAAAATAGGATGCTTCCACTGGTGCGGCATGTGGGAGGCAAGGAGGTGGCAGGGATGGCTGGGTCCTTTAGGAAGCTGCCAAGATGAGAAAAATGTTCTTCCAGAGATCCAAAATAATTTATTTCCAAAGCTTGCAGGATCCTGAATACAGAAAATATAAACCAAGTTGCTTGTAAGAGCTGGAGTACAGGTAGAGCCCAGGAATGGCACACCAAGCTTTTCCTCTCTGGGTCATGGACTGAAAACCTAGTCTGGCTGCAGCTCAAAGCCATCACGACCCTGAAGGCTGGAAAACAAGTGCTGCATCTCAGGGACATGTCCCTGGCACAGATGTCTCCTTTGGGCAGCCCTGCACACATGCCTCCACTCGTGATTCCCATCCCAGAAGCTGTTGTGCAATCCGTACCCAACCGGCTCCCCTGGGAGCTGTGATCTCAGAAACTTTGGGTGAAGGTTTCAGGGCTTATTTCCTCTCCATAAATATTTGGCAGATCTTTGGGACAAGGTCACTTTCAAACTGACTTCCTGACAAAGCTCCCTAGATGAAGGAAAGCTTTCACGGACCTTGCTTGCCTACGCACACGGTCCTTGTAGTAAAAAGGGCAGCTTTTGTGCAGCAGTGTCACTGCCCAGACCTCCCGATGGCAGGAGCAGCTTGCTGTGTAGGATGGCAACCCTGTTTTATGGAAGATCCTGTGCTCTCCTTTCCACTGGGGACCCGTTTCCCAAGGGCCTGCTGGGACCCAGGATGCCAGCACTGGCAGATGACCCTCAGGGGGCTCGCATGGTAGCTGCTTTCCTGGCAAGGACATGCTGTGCTGGAGCTGGGCTCTTTGAGCTGCCGCTGCAGAAGAGAGGCTGAAGTGTTTGTTCATTTTTAGTCCCTTGTGTGTGAGTCAGGCCGGGTGTGTGAGCGCTCTGGCCATTCTGTGATGACACTCCCTGCATTGGGAGGGCATCTGTGGGCTCCAGGAACTGGTAACCTTCCTTCTGTTGCCCACACTACCAGGCAGGCATCCCAGGAATGGTGTGGGAAGCTGTGGGATGAAGCAGCCAAAGCTTTGCTGGAGTAGAAAAGCACCACTCTGAGAAACTCCAGCGTCACTAAAGACAGGCATTGAAAAACCATTTTCATCTCCCTATCCCAGCACAGGCTGTAGCACAGCTCTGCACTGAGGAGGGCTCTGGGACAAGAGCCAGGATACCTGGATCTCTTGCTAAGCTGATTCCTTTTGGCAGGCTCCTATCCTGTTGAACCAAGGAAATGTTGCTGGGTTGCTGGCGGGGAGGGCATTCTGGCAGCTGTGAAATGCCACCCATGTGGATGGGAATTCCCTTCCTGCCCTGATACCCGTGGTGTTACTTCAGAGATTGCTGATTGGGCTGGAGCAGCCACGTGTGGCAATGGGCATGAGATGGTGCAGCCCCAGGTTTCCCCCTTGTGCCCTTGCAGAGCCCCAGCTCCAGCCTGGTCCTCCCCTGGCAGCGAGGGCTGGGTGCTGGCAGGTGCTGCAGCAGGGAACAGGCAGTGGGAGCATCTCCAAGTTGTTTTCAGGGCTTGGACCTGTGTCTGCCACTGCAGTCACCAGCCAGAGACTGGGAGCTGCCTTATGCCCTTCTCTTAGAGATGCTCTAAGGTTCACTGGCCCACGAATTTGCGGTCTGCTGGCCATGGCACGGCAGTCGTGCTTCAGCACAACAGCCAGTGTCTTTGACATGATATAGCAGCTTCAGGCAGAGGGACATTCAGCTGAGCCTGCATCCCTCAGAGAACCAGAAATAAATTCGCAGTCACTGCTGTGCTCCAGAGAGGAGGAGTGTCTCTCAGCTGTCATCCTTTCTGATCCTGTCATCCTCCTGTGTGGTGGGAGGTGTTGGCTGTGAGAGCCGAGTTATTTATTTAATAAGATCCCACTTGTGTTGCTGCCTGAGGCTGCTGTCTCTGTGCTGGAGCCATGGTGCTTGTATGCTTGCAGAGCATGGGGAGGCCCTGCAAGCTGTGGAGCCTTGGTCCATACATGAAAATACCTTGAGTTTGGCAGTGGTGGGGCTGGAGGAGGTTAATTATACAGAAAATATCCCTGACCCAAACACGGGGTAGCAGGCACCCTCTTGAGAGCCTCCAGGCAAAGGTGGATGTGCATCAGCTCCACATCCACTGAGTCCAGCCCTGAGCCTGCATTTGTGTGCTGAGCCATATGTGATCCCTGGCATGCTGTGGCTGTAAGAAGCCCCGCAGGCTTTTCCAGAACATGGCTTTTAAGTCAGATCAGACCAGCAGTGCACTTTGCAGCCCAGCTGTGTACAGCTGGATCGGCGCGGCAGGGGGCCGGGAAGACACAGGCAGGAGCGTGGCATGGTGGGAACCTCTCCAGCCACCCCCAGCGCAGGGAAACAGAGCCTGGTTGCATCAGATTGCCCTCGAGTCCCAGCACACAAGCCCTTGTCTGTGCCCCCTCTGCCCTCTTCCCCCTGCCCTGCTGGCACACACAGACAAGGGCAGGTGGGAGCATGGCATGCAGCTCACTGGGGACTCAACCTTCACCATCTGCAGGCTCATAAATCCCACAGGGCCAGCCCTTGACCGCAGCATCTGTGGTCCTCTGCAGGGTGATCAATCACATTTCCCAACATGATTCCCTCTCCTTTGCATTAATCAGTCCAAGAAGGCAGCCTGGACTGATCACAGACCCAGAGCTTTCTGTTAAATTCACCAGCTGATCATCCTCTCTTATTCCTGATGACATGAATTGGCAGCAGGGAGAGCAGTGTGTAAACTGCATATTGTCCTCAAAACCCTGGCAACCATAGCGATGCAGAAAGATAATATTTGGGACCTTTGGGAGGTGTTGCAATAGGCAGCCCTGCCTGGCCCTGGGAAGCTCAGCTGAGGGCAGTGCAGGCAGGCAGGCAGGCCAGCCAGCACAGTGGCTTCGTGCCCCACTGAGGGCAAGGAAAGAGGTGTCAGCCCTCCTGGTCTGACCTGGTCCCAGAGCCCTTGGGACACCAGGCATTTCCCCTTGGCAGATGAGATCCATCACAGCTTGCCAGCCCTCCCATTTCCATTATTCCAGTATCAATTTATTCAAGAAAACACAGGAGGCCTCAGGGTGCATTCTGTTGCTACTGCAGCATAGATCCTTTGCACAGCCAGTGTCTTTCTTGAAGTGGTAAGTAGATGGACTCTGATAAATCCAGGGTATGATGATTCATGTACACTTGGCGCCTGATCTCCCCAGCGTCTTCAGTTTTGTTTTAGCTTGGGAGAGTTATGGAGAGAATTAGCCTATCTCAGTAATATTTTAACGTATATGTAATTTGATTGCCACATTCCTAAAATCAATATTCATTATTCAAGGTGATAGCAGAGCTAAAATTAGTCCTTCAGCTATATCAAGAATATCAGGATGAGCATGTGTTATTAGTATTAGCAACTTTATGAAGACACATGTCTTAATATATGTGGGTTGGGTGTCAGGGCTTGGTGCTAATCTGGGTGCCAGCACACCCTCAGCATCATCCCTGCCAGATCCTGCCCTGCGTCCTGCCTGCCGCAGTCCTGGTGGGCCACCTGAATTACACCAGAGTTAAGCTGCAGTGGCAGGTGAGGCGACCCAGGGCGGTGTGCCAGAGAGACACGGGGATGTTGGGGTTTTGTTTATTTTCATGCACAGGGTGTTCAGGTCTCATGTGGGAGGTGGTGATTTGAGATCCTCAATTAACGCATTCTAATGGCAGAGCAGGGTGCGTGCTAGGATGGTGTGGTTTTCTCCCTCATTTTCCTTCTTTCTCTTGCTGATTTGCTGCCAAACCCCTTCATGAGCCCCTTGGACATGTGTTAACAAGGGGTAGGATTTTTGGAAACTTCCTGTGCATTCTCCATTTGCTTTGGTTACACATGGCCATACATGTGCTAGTCCAAAGCTGTGTGCTGGAGACCACGCAGAAGAACTGCATTTCTCATACAAGTTAATATGAGAGAAGGGGAGGTGGAGATATTTTACACGCAAGTCAAGAATTGATGTGTTACTAATTGCTGTTGTAGAAAATATTATCCCTCAGAGGATGTTGTTATTTTATAAACAAGGGGGTAATTTACAGCTCAATTACTTAAATCATGAGTTAATTGCCAAGCATAATGAATAAATACATTTGCAAGTACAAAGTTTAATTTGCACAGATTCTAGTCGTCTAGGCATTAAGAGGCAGATCAGTATTTGATAAGTAATCTGGAATGTTGTATGAAATGACATTTATTTTCACATGTAATCCAAATGACGAAATGTTCTGAAATGAGATTTCAAGGGCCTTGTCCTTCCTTCCCTGCAATGAAGGGCAGTGTTTTCATCAGCTACTCCAGAAATGGGTTCAGGCTGCCTGGCAGCAGAGAGGAAGGCAGGAATCCTTCAGGAGTGACAAAGAGAGCAGAGTAGCAAGCCTAGGTTCATGCAGGTGCAATTGTTTTGATACTACAAAATGCAAAGAGAGAGTGCAGAGACAAAAATTGAGGATGCCTGCAATGGGCTTGGAGTTAGTGTTAGCTGACAGCAGCACGGCTGCAGAGCTGGGAGTACTTCTGGAGATAAAGGGGAGATGTTAGTGCCACTGCCCTAGCACTGGTGAGGCTTCGGCCCTGTGCAAGGATGCAAACAGAAGCAGTGGCAAATAAACCCAGCAAAAGGGGGTTTTGCAGCCCACTGCTGTACGTGCTTGCTGCTGCTCACAGCACTGGAGGCTGCAGGACTTAGTACCTGTCACAGGCATGTCTCATCCTCTGGGGCATGAGGAACCCTGCCTGCTACCTGCCTGCTGCCTGCACACCGCCTGCCCACTGACTGCACACTGCCTGCTCGCTGCCACAGTGGGTGTCAGAGCTGGGGCTGGTTGCTGCTGCCTTGAGTAAGAGACAAACAGCAGGCACCTGCACTTCAGTTGCTACTGAATAATCTTGGGCTACTGGTGCCCTTTCGTAGGATCATATCTTTATTGGAGGCTGTTAAAGCCAAACCTCCCAACAGCAATAACATGACTACAAAGCATTTCTAAGAAAAAAGTACGTGGGAATAAGGGAGATACTGAGATCCCAGCCAATTTCAGTACAATACAAGTCTGAAGTATCCTTATAAATTTAACAAGTCAAATTTAAACGTATACAAGGCTCAGGAGCATACAGGAAACAGGATCAGCCAAACCTTCAAAGGCCCATCGTTGTCTTTCAGAAAGTCCACTGAAAGGCTCATGCCATAAAAAAGGTGTATTCACATAGCTGATAGAGTGATAAACCTGGTGGAGAAATGCCAGCAACCAGAGCGGGCAGGGATGCCCACTTCAGGGATGTCACAGTGAGTAGCCCAGCCTGTTGTTACGGTACCCTTTGTCCTGCTCTCTCTGCAGTAAAATAGGGCCCTTTTGGTGTAAATCTGGAGAGACTTCGGTAGGTGATTTCCTCCTAGGCAAGCAGCACCCCTTGCCAATGGCTTTATGATGGGTCAGCCAGCCTGTGAAATCTCCCTGCTGGAGATTGGCAAGGTAATAATGCTCATTCCTTGCCTGGCACCGTCTCCATCACACTCCTGAGCAGCACAAGCCACAGCCAGGCATGCAGCATATGGCAGTGACTTCTCTGTCCTCTGTGACATACACTCTGGATACCACAGGCAAGAGAGGACAAGGAGAGAGCTAGAAAACACAGCTTGTGCTGCATGCCCAGAAGTTTATGCCTGTTTTCTCCTCAGACCTGAAGGCACCTGTGGATTCAGAGCATGTCTGCTATAGGCACCTGGAGAAGGATCTTGAGGGGACCTCACTGACTGCTGCAATGTGGAAACTGTGCGAAAAGCTCCCGTCTGCCCTATTTAACTCCCAGATTAATAGCTAAATGCGTTCATGAAATGCTAGAGACCCACATCTCATTCAGTCTGCCTGAATGGTGTCAGCATGGCCAGCTTACCATACCTGATCTTTCCTTCTGTGTGTTATTTGTGGACAGCAGGCTATATTCTGCCTTCATCATGTGCCATTGTGTGTTTGTACATTTTACCCATCTGTTCGAAAGCAAGAAGCAGTGCCATATGACTTAAGCAACCAGCCATGCTCTCTAAATAGCAAAGCATCCAAGCAAGCTAGATAGCAAACCATCCAAAGGCTGCAGCAGAATGTCAGAAAAGTGTCAGGAAAATGCCCTGCCACAAAGACATTGGAAAAACCAAGGTAATTTCATGGCTTGTTTGTGAGTGGGAAGCAAAACCACCCCTCTGAAGAGGCCAGCAGCTCTGGGATGTGTGTTGAAGGACCTGGCATGGAGGAATTTGTGAACCATAAAGCTTTGTCAAAAATAATTTTTAAATGAAATGCAGTGTCCTAGCAAAACACACGCCTGAGACATAAAGCAAAACCAAAGTACAAAATGTGGTGTTTAAAGGCTGGATTCTGTCTCATGTGAATAGAAGCCACATGCATGCATCTCAGATCACATTTTGGCCTGATTTGAAACTGTGCTTGTAGGGGTTGCAGCAAGAGCAGGCAGAGGAAGGCTCCATGTTCTTTTATGATCCTCTAGACCAGACGAGCCTTTCTGTGCTTCCCAGAGAGCAGAAAGGCTCTGACACCAGCCCCTGTGTGCATTAGTTCCCCAGCTGCGGGGTGAAGCGTCCTGTGGCTTCACCAGGCAGTGAGGCGGCTCAGCTGCTCACTCCACATCAGGAGCAGGCAGCAGCAATGCCACTTACACCTGCCTGGAAGCCAGGTCCAGACCTGCAGCTCTGTGCCTGTGCTGCCCCAGGCAAGTTTGGGGCTGGTGAGCTCCCAGCGACACCACCATCCACGAGCATCCTGCAAAAGTGCTGGTACCGAAGCTTAACCTTTATTAATAGGAGGGAGGAAGAAACAATGCTGGCAAAATATTGTCAAATACTTCAAATTAATGATTAATTTTAGATGGGGTAATACTGTTTGATGTGGTCTTTTCTGGTTTAAACAGGAGAAGGGTGATTCACTCTAAAGGAATTTATAAAAACATAAGTATTTGCTCATGGACAATAAATACTGGGGCAGATAAAAAGGGGGATGAAGTGTTCAGCATCGTGATAGTAACTCCGCTAGAGAAAACTTTTGACCTTCTCACATCTTAAATCAATGTGTTTCCCCCCACCCCGCTCTCCTCCAGGCCTGCCCTTGAGGCCGCGGGGACGGGTAGGAGGGAGTGTGCTGGGCTTGCCTTGAGCTGCATCGCTGTTAGGTCCCCCTGTCTCCCTCCTGTCCCCACAGAAAGGCTCAGGTGCTGGCACCCAGCAAGGGGCATGGGGCAGCACCCGACAGCAGTTTACACAATCTGTGTACACAGCGTAATCTGTCAATTTGCCTGTTGTAAATGTAAAGCGTATAAACGCGGTGCTAAACCGCTGTGGTTTACAGAGCTGCCCCGCCTGGGAAGCTGAGATTTACACTGCCCGCTGGCGAGCCGGGCGTCTGTCCCGTCCCGGCCTGCTCTATCCTGCCCCCTCCAGCGCTGGCCGGAGGGATGCCCAGGAGGGATGGCTGCAGGCAGCAAAGAACCCATTAATAACCCAGACGAAGCTGCATAAGAGGCGCTGGCAGCACCGCGCGTGCCCCACAGCACCTGACGGCCCTCGGATGTGTACCTGGAGGAGGGAGCTTGCTATCTACCTTTCCCGTGGGAATACGATGCAGCCAGGATAACCCCCAGACCTTGCTGGGGCTTTGCCAGTGCCATTAAAGTGTTGACGGCTGCTGATTACCCTGACACGATGGTGGTTTTATTGAGACAAGATTAGCCACTCGCCGCACTTTGAAGGGAGGCCGGGTACACACCACCACCAGCTGTCCCCTCCCAGGAAGGGCTCCAGAGCCTCTCTTCACACCGGGCTTTTTTTGCTTTACAAAATCTATTTTCCCCCTAAAGCTAACAGTATGGGGGTGAGCGTGGGGAGCGGATAGGGCAGTCCCCGAGCTCGTGTCCGGCCTCTCCGCAGCTGAGCCCCTACCTGCAGCTGTTCCCGCAGCATAGCCTTGCAGGCTGTCAGCGGGCCTTTCATCACAGACCCCACTGACATCATCCTTTCCAAAACACCTGAGCTCCTCGTGGTCCCTGTGCTCGTAACACTTGGAAGTGACAGCGGCTTCTGGTTTCAATTAACCCAGGGGCAGTTTGAGGACTATGTGATTGCACAGGAACAGAGGGGAGAGGAGAAAAGGCTTTTTTTCCGAGCAGCAGCAGCAGCAATGGAGCGTGTGGGTGAGGAGCTCCTGTAAAAAGCAGATGGTTTCTCTTTCCTTCCTCCTTCTTTTGCTCATCTTTCTCTCTCTCTCTCTTTTTTTTTTTTCCCCTCAATTCTGTGGAACTGACAACCCAACAGCACATTTTTCACCTTCAAAGCTTTGCTGAAGGGAATTCTCCACTGCTATTTCATTTCTTCCTGATGTTCACAGATCGTAAAGCAAACGACCTCTGGAGAATAGGGAGAGCAGATCTATCCCGTGGTCACAGCAGAGGACCAGACCAGCACCCTTGGTGCATGACAGCCTTTCTCCAGTGGTTAGCAGCCAGGGGAAGCACACATACATCTGCCTTTGGATGCTGAGTACCAAACATAGCACCACAGTCAGATGCTGCTGACACTGGAATAAGGGACACACAGAAGTTTGCAGAGGTCCATGAATTCCACCTTGGACAGGCATAGGGATAACAGCCGTGATCAGAGGCTGCTTGCATCAGGGGAAAGCAGGCACTGAAGTCCCTGTGCTGGTCTTGCTAACTAGGTTTGCTGGTGCTGTCCCAGAAGGAGACACACTTGCAGGCCAGCAAAGGCGGGTCCCATCTGGAGCCTTCCTCCCACTGCCTTCCCACGGTCATGCAGCAGCCAGAGATCCCAAATCTTGTGTGTTCGTGAGGTGTAGGGAGGGAGGAAGCCATAATCCCATGAAAACCCATCCCACAGTGTGATGGATACTTAAATTACTCTTACCCGTGTCAACACGTTCAATGCCTTTCGGAAGAAAGGTAGTTAAAAGAGGTGTAAATGGAAAATAAGACTGAAGGACAAACAGGGATAAAGAGTTCAATCATGCTAATGTGAGATCTGCTTTTAAGACACCATTATCAGACCTGGCAGGGCTAGGTGATTGCTGCCCCCTGCAATGCATGGCAGTGCTGTTCTTGCCGTGGGAAGATGCTCTACGAAAAGGAGGAGTGAGAATCCAGCCCAGAAGCTGCAGCACAGGGAGGGACAGGAATGAGGAATGGTGGCCAGTTGTTCTTGGAGGGCTGGGGGAGGACACTGGTCTGCTTTCATCAGTGACTTGGACACTGAAAGGGAGCATTTGTTTGCAAGATGTGTTTCCCCAGCCAGGAAAGTGAGATGTGGAGGCTGGTGTGGGGCTGGGAGCCACTGCCTGGTCCCCCAGGGCTGCTTGTGAGGGTGGGCAGCGGGCAATGCGCTCCCTACATGTGCACAGCTGAGTCAGAGGAAGAAAACTGCAGAAGGGAATGACAAAACTGCCAGGAAGACAAATGGGGCTGAAATATCACTGGGATCGGGAGGGTCTGGAGCAGCTCCTGGCAGGAGTGGCAGCAACCAGAAAATAACCTCATTGCTCCCTGGGGCCTGAGCCCACGTGTGAGAGGGATGAGCTGGCATGGGCTGGTGAGGTACGAGTGTCCCCTGTGCTGCATCTCCGTGTCCTAATTCACCACCACTTGCACAGGAGCACAAGCTCGTTCCTCACCATGAGCCTGCAGAGGAGGTGCTGGAGGCAGAGGCAAGGAGCAGCCAGCCCCGTGGGGTTTGTCACTGGGGATGTGTCACCTCTGATACCAGCTCTATGCCTTGAAGATGTCCCTTGCCTAAGGAAAAGCCACTTAGAGGCTCCGTACCCTGGGGGTGAACAGCCCATGGAATAATCCTGGATTGGGATGTGGGTTGCACTGAAAGGATGGTGCACAGTGATGCCACCCCACACTGCGATGCTGCCAGTAGTGCAGAGCCACAGTTCTGAGCTGGGTCCATCCTCATCTCCTGGGGGTCCCGGGACCTGCTGACCAAAACTTGGCAGTGTTGGGGTGAAAGCTGGTTCTCTTTGAAAGCACTCCAGCCGCACTCCCCGTGTGCCATGGGAATGCCCGGGAGGATGAGGGCACCGCTCACCTCATTCCTACCTGCACCCTCCCATCCAGCCCCCCTTCTCCCCCCTCCCTCCCCCCCCCCCTCCAACCAGGACCGAGGGTTGAGGATGGCTGTGGGGCTTGCCGGCAGCCCGGGGCAGCCTGATGGGGCCTGGAGCCAGCCCAGTCAAAGAGTTGATAGTTTTCACACCCTGTCAGCCTGATGAACAGCCCCTCTCCCTTGGCGCTCAGCGCCTGCAAGGGTCAATTACGGCGATTACTTCAAGGAGTCAAACCGGCTGCTGGCAGCACTGGAGAAAATCTTTGTTTCGGGTTTGGCTTTGTCACAGGAAGGAAAGAAATGCCTGGGTTTGTAGTGTGGGGGGAAGGAGCCTTTACTGTACGTGGGGCAGAAGCCAGGGGTGTCTGGGTGTTTGGGTGGGAGAGGATTACCCGGGTGTTTGGGGCAAGCCGCTATGTTCTGCTAGTGTGATTCTGAGCAGCAGCTGGGGCTTGTGCAGCCCCCAGCTCACTTGGGCACTCAAGAAAGGCCTGAAAGCAATCCAGCAGTTGTAGGGAGCAGCTAACAAGTGATGGAGACAGCCTTCAAAAGTAGATGTGGTGTGTAATGTGAGAAACAGAAAAGAACAAAACACTGGCAAGTTAAAAGTAGTCACAATAGAGGTGATTTAAAAGTCTGAGGAATTTGCTAAAGGTATTAAAAGCTGAAAATAAGCTTGTTTGCATACATGGCAGGAGCAGGGAATGAGCCAGCCAGCCAATGCAGGCTGTGGATGGTGGAGGCATGAGCAGGGCACCCAAGGAAGGCAAAGCCTCAGTAGAAAAGCTGAAGGGTGGTTTGAAGATCAGGGAGGATGCTCAGGCAGTGCCCCATGGCAGCCTTCCTACGGGGCTGTGCCGTGGGGCACATCCCATGGCAGGGGCCTGCCAGAGGTGTCTTCCGACAAAGAGAGGAGCTGCGGAGTGGCACATGTCTGGAACAAGGCAATGCCAGCCCAGCCGGGGCTGGTAACCAGCTGCTCCTGCCAGCCTGGGGCAGAGTGGGGAAAGCAGCATCAGCCATAGCCAGAGGGGTCAGGGGAGTCATGGGCAATTTGGGAGAAGTGATCTATAACTGTCTGGGTCAATGCAGCACTTGGAGAAGACTGAACACCACCTTTCAGGAGGAGGACATGCTTTGCTAATCAGCCAGGTCCGTGAGCATGGGGAGCAGAGCAATGTGCCCGGCATGGGGCAGCGGCACTTCCAAAACGGTTTTGCCTCATCACCTCTCCAAAAGTCCCTGAACGCCTAGTGGACCGGAGGGACATTTGCCTAGCAGGAAGAAAACAGCTGGTTAAAAGACTGTAAAGCTGAAGCAGGAGCTCACATTGTTAAACTTCAGGCTGATAAACTGACAGATGAAATTCAGTATTGATAAAGGCAAAGACAACCTGCAGAAAAGCAGCCCTAACTAGCCATGCGGACCCTGATCTCCCCTTCTGCAATGCTTGGTGAGAGCCAGGACAGCAACCATAATGCATGACTGTGGAAGGATTAGAGAGCTACTAAAGAGAACCTTCTCCTCTTGAGTATTATGTGCAGATTTTTTTCTCATAAAGGATGTAACAGGTATAAAGGACTGTAAGGATGCTTGGAAGTAGAGTTTGGAGGCATGGTGAAGAAAGATGAGTTGTCCAGGTCACACAAGCTTGGAAAAGCTGAAGGGAGATGATAAAGGTCCCAGAAGCCAGAGTGGCAGGTGGAGGTAGAGCTAGCATCAAACTGGGAACAGTGCAATAACAGCGAGAACAAACCCAAAGCAAAGAGGAGGAAGCCGTTGCCTTCACCAGGCACTGCTCAGCTGTGGAACTTTCTGCCACAAACTGCTGTGGCAGACAAAAGTGCATGAGGTGGGGAAAGCTGCACCCACTGATGCTCTGAGTCAGCCTGTCACAACAGCAAGCAGCTGGGATGAGCTTGCTCACACCCA